GTCCATACTAAATCAGTCTATTTGCTCTCGGATTCGGATCAGCATACGAGGGCTCAGCCAAAGAGTAAAGAATGAGTTATGAATAGAATGCGAAATCGGGGAGTCGAGCATCCGCCGTACGGAAGAAAAACGCCGTATGAGTCCTCGGATGTTGCAACATTTCCTTTCGACGAATCGAAAATTTTGGGGAAAATTTTTGAATATTTTTCTTCCGGTTTTCGGAGAATTTTGCTCGTGATTTGATCTTTAGTATCTGGAAATTGCAAGGTAAAATATTCGTAACTTTTTTCGAAAATACATATTTTCCGAGGAGAAATCTGACAACATTCAAAAGCTCGCACGGTTTTTTACGGTAGAGCCCCGCAGCGAGCCATCGCAACACACATGACCACAGCCGCGAAATCTCCTGTGAATCGGACGTATTTCTATCAAACGGAACAATGTGTATGAGACATTATCCCTAAGACCCATAAGAATATGTGCATAACAGGGCTCGCGTCAAAATGCACATAGTTCCGTTTGATAGAATATTTACGTCCAATCGTCGCTCCTCTGACGTAAACGCGTACCTCAATTTCAACGTAAGCCCTACTCTCCATATGAATATCGGTGGCGAGGCATGCATCATCGATTATCGATATTTTCCCATTTGAAGCTATGTTAAGGAATCGATTATTGAGGCGTTTGTTGCAAAAGGATGTATCGATCCTTTCCCATAGATTTAATAGGCAGATGAATCGATACATCGCAAAGCACCTATGAATATATGCGTTGCGAGGCTCGTATGGAAATAGAGATACGCTCTTACGTTAGAGGTGTTACGTGCTCGCACGGGAAGGATGACCGGAGATCGCGCAACCGGGTCCGTGGCCCGGAGCTCGGCAGCCGCCCACGGTGTTGAGTTTCGGTTTTACGAGGGCTTCGGTTTCTCATCCACGTTATTAATTGTAAATATTTAAATGGCCCCGCATCCTGGGGCCGGGCCTCTGCGCTCTGTGCTCTGTCCCGCGCTCGCTAATGTACCCCGTTCATTATTAATGAATTCATGCACCCGAATGTTGCGTACCTAGCGCTCCGTTGCCTCCTCGCCCGCTCCCTCCTTGCCGGCGGGTATCCATTCCAACGGCTTCGGACAGGAACAGGCAGCGCTCCCCAATCCGTTATCTGCATGCTCCTTGTTTGCTTAAATCCTCGCTCGTCTGGCTCAAGGGCGTATTCCGATCTCCGCATGAACCCCAGGAAGCATGGATTTATATGTGAACCAGGGCTCACGTCGTCATTGTGATACGCCCTTATGCCGAGCTGGAGGGGCGACGAAATCTCGATACCAGTGGGGAAAGGGAGGCATGCACTTGCACTTGCATTGAGAATCGATCGGCGCACGGTGGGACGAACCATTGGAAGAGGTCAAACATATGGACGTATTTCTATCAAACGGAACTAAGCGCCAATTTGAGTTCCTTTTGAGGAATTTAGAATCCCGGATAGCGCGTTCTGTCAAACGGACCTAAGCGTCATGGAAAAGCATCGCGAGTATGGGACGGAATAAGCCGGACGCCCGATTCCGCCGCCACTCCAAGCCCCCCTCTACCTTCCTCACCATATGGCGCTTAGGTCCGTTCGATAGAAATAAGTCCATATAATTGTTTACCAAACATCTAGATTTATTAGTCACAGTTTAACTTTGAAGGGATGCCTCTTGAGGAAAAGGACCTCAAGCAAAAGTAGCCCATCCCCCGTAGCTCTGATTGCTTTCATTTTTAATATGATATTCTTCTATAAATAAAGAGCCCTATCGAGAATCCTCTTGAAGGCATCACATATGAAACTTCCCTTGTGATATTTTTGAGGGCATTCACATATGGATTGCATTTTGCAAAAAGGAACCACTTGTATTGCAATGTTGCTAAGATTGTGCAACTTCTTTTGTCTTGGAGGAAAAACCCGATTATCCATTAATAGTTTCTATTTTACTCGCTAAAAACTGTAAATTTAACCCTTTATTGCATAGCGTTGCATGAAAGCAACAAATGTTTTTCAGCTTTATTTCTATGCTGGAGTATTAAATTGAACCAAAGGAAGAAATCATTTTTGGGGAACATTATATGTCTGATCTCCTTGCTTAGAAAAAACCATAAAAATCGATTCCAACCGACTATATAGTGTCAAAAAAATACTGTACAATGTAAATTTTCTCTCCAAAATCAACGATTCGCTCATGCAACAAAGGGTTAAGACAAAAATTACCATCTGAATTTCATAGTTTTTCACGATTTCTGCAATTTCATTGCAAAAGATGAAGTTGCATAATCTTAGCATCATTGCAATGCTAGTGGTTCCTTTTTGCAAAATGCAATCCATATTATGTATAGAGATCCAAACGGGTAACGCAGGACCGCACTCGGATCTTCATGTGGACACTACTTAAGCTTCCTGGTATCTGGAGGACTTGCAGCCTTAAGGACCGTCCCTAAATTACAGGAGGGGGTCTTTGTCAGCGTTACGCGATGTTATAGGGGAGTGGGGGGGGGGGTCTAGAGGGAAGCGCGTCTAAAGTGGAATCGAACTAGCACAAACTTTTATGAAAGTTCTGGTGATTTATCAATAGGCTAAGACTGCAATACTGATTCTGCACCAGAAATAGCCATCGCCACTAGGCTCCCTAACTTTCGGAACTTTTCCATCATCTTTTGAAATCCATTACGGACCGTCGGAGACAATCATCTGTAAATACATGTAACGACGTTATAAGACGAAAAACACGTATATTATTTGCCGTGTTCCAAAATGTTTAATCCTACTTTACTCTGTTAAGTAAACAAATATTTTCACATCTATTCGTGCGAAATTATCAGAGAACATGAAGGGAAATTAAAAAGGGTGAGAAGGAATCACCCGAAATTTTGCGCGTCCATTATGATCAATCATTCTTGAAATAAGAAAATGAGCTACCACTAGACAATGTGTGAAGCAGAAGAAAACTTCACGTGTTTTCTCTTAAAAATCTTACATAGAGTACAATTCACGCAACGGGAAGTGTTGGAATCAACTCCTGAACGAGATATTAACAAGTCCTGTAAACACATCAAATGGAAGTTCGATTATACAAATGACGTTACTTGTATTTTTGCCATTTAGCCAAAGCTTATAGAAGACACTCGTACTTTTTGTTCAGAAGTTGATTTCAGACTTCCGTTGTGCGATTTGTTAGCCTTGTGGAATTATGAAGAGAGAACAGGTGGCGTTGTGCTTTGATTCATATTTTGTCTAGAGGCCCACTGTGACAGAATTCTGCAACGTCGCAAACTTAGATACGTGGTTTTGTAATTTGACCATGAATACACCCTCATCGCGATATGCGGCCAGATTTGCGTCAGACCCTCTCTCCAAGGAGACGAACTTCAGTCTCGAGGGGTTCAAGATGCCTTCTTCTAAAAGTTTATCAATAAAAATATTTCCAGATAGTGCTTCTTCGCAACTTTCCTTTTTCCTTCGCGAACCACTTCACCAGAAGTGCAATGCTTCCAACTCGCTCCTACCTTAAATCGTAGGAGAAATTCAAGAAAAGACATTTATCATGTTTGCAATGAACCATCCCCCATCTCCCCTACGCCCCAAAGGATCTTCACTAGGAAAGGAAGTTCCATGGCATTCCTTTCGATCAGTGGCGAGACATGATAATCGACCATCGATATTACCCCATTTTAAGCTACGGCAAAGGATCGATTATAAAGATGCTCGCTGCGAACACCCTGTTTATCGATCCTTTTCCATGGGTGTAAGTGGCAGATCAATCGATAAATCGCAAAGCACGCCACACCACCGTTTTCGACTCTTCTCGTTATACATCGTACGAGTATTGTTCCAAACTTCAAAATTGATCCTACTCAGGAGAGTTTCCATTACGACGTTTATCTAGCATTTCGACCGTGAGTGTGAGGCGATGGAATTGTGAAATTTCAGTATCACCCCCTACAATTTCCGCCTTGCTGAACTTTTCTCCATGCAGTACATTTCGGTTTGCTGTCTCGGTGGGATCTAACTTTATTCACTTACTTACAAGTTTTTTTTCCATTTAAGGATATCCATTTCACTTAAAGTCGGTTCGACGATTTTGTAGGTACATACATGTTTCATTGGGCTGACAGCTTTTGAAGTGTGTATTAAAAAAAATAATTAAAAAAAAAAAAAAAAAAAAAAAAAAAAAAAAAAACACCGCCTATAAATTTATTACATTTAAGCATTTTTCTGGAACATGTTTTTCTCTCTCTTTACACTCATATATAAAAGGTAAATAGTTTATTGTGCGGAGAAAATTCTGCGGCAGGAGCGGAAAGTGAGGAGGCTTGGTTGAAAAATAAATAAACAAAAAGTATCTATCTTATTCCCTGAAGAAGAAAAGTTTCGTCAAGAAGAGATTCGCCACAGTAAGCAACCAACCTAACTGCTATAGAAATGAGAGCGTACCTAACCAAAAAATAAAAATAAAATCAAATGCCCGTTATTGCGTAATATTTAATTTAAGCATTGAGAGTTAAGAGCGTTGGGAGCTCCTCTGAAGCAAGATGGTTTTCAAGATTGGACAGTTTTTAGACAGTTGAACTTTGAATGTCGGTATACGTTTGAAAGTCTATATGAATGAGCTCCTCCTAAAAAAAGACACGGACCCTTGATTTCTCTTTTTTATTGGCTGTGTTACCGTGTAATATTAACAGATTTGGGATTTCGATTGTCCATCTGACCTCAGTAATCCTTCATTTACATTTATTGATCGAAAAACTCATTGATATCATCTGATCAACGAGTCAATAAACAAATTGGTGCTTCTCATAATTAAAATTGAATCAATTATTAAGAATCAATTTTTTGCAAGAACCGATTCGAAACGCAGTATCTTCCAACAGCACTTCTTTAAATATTTTACTGAATTATTATGATTTACTTCAAAAGTATATGAAGTATAAGATTTCTACATACAGAATGAACAAAAAGTATTTTACCTTTACGTATCAGGAACAGATCTCGGATATCATCATTTGTATTATTCCATCAAGAAATCTGGAAAAATAAAAGGCAAAAATTACTGTGACTTTACACAAAAATATTTGTTAGCTCCTTAAGATATCACTCAGAGCAAGGTACGAATTAAAATCAGTCAATATGGCTCAAATGCATTGTTACCCCAATACTTTGACTCTCGAAAAAATAGTTGACGGCCATCTAATAGCTTTTTTTGGATCACGCGAAATGGAGAATAATAAGAGGCTGGCTAGAACATGAGAAGAGATAACAAAAAAATGATGTAATTTGACACTCAATTTTTTCTTATTTTTTATGCCAATATTGGCATACTTTCTTCATTGCCATCTGTGTCAATGTGTTTTGTCTAAAATGTATTACAGATAAAGAAAAAATCTTCATGTTTCATGCAAAAATATACGAAATTTGCCATTTTTAATAAGTTGTCTTTAAACTCAAAAGAAAACTGTACTTTATTGGCGAGGCGTGAATGGTCGATTATCGATATTTCCCTATTTGAAACTGTGGCAAAGAATCGATTATTATGGTGTTTATAGCGAACACCCTGTTAATCGATTATTTTCCATAGGTTTAAATGACGAATCAATTGATACATCGCAAAGACGCCACTTCACTGCGCTGTTTACTGAACTTCTTGGCTAACAGGATGATTTCATAGTGCTAGGTCCACAATGTTATGGGGAAATTAAGGCCGAAAAATCCCATTAGAGTCATAAAATGAACTCTGATGAGTTTCAGCGCAAGGCTCCAGGAAATACTTTTCAGCTCAGGAGGGTGCATTGGAGTACTATCAGCTGCTAAGTTGGGGTCTTGCCGGAAGACTTATACCAATTTTGGTCCAACTTTGGAGCTCAGCTAAGTATTTCGCAAAATCCAAGACTTTTCTCCTTTTACTTTTTTGTTATTTTTCCACTCTTTAAATTTTTTTGCAACCTTCTTACGTTTCATTTTGGAGAAAAAATAATCTTACACTATAAAAGATCTTAACGTAATATTTTATAATAAATTATAGCTATATTAAATGAATAGCGACACCTCATTAACTTCCAAGTTGTAGCCTTGCAAACTTGAATTCTTACTTTTCGTGAGGTATAAATCTGCATTTAGAGAAACAAAATATCTTGTATTTATTCAATATTTTTAACATTTTCTTTCAAAGGATCGAGTGGAGTTAAAAATGACGAAATCTCGATGGAAACGAAATAAGATATCGCACACCATGAAAAGAGAGAGATGAGGATAAAGACACATGCAAACGATGTTTGCATGACGGAGCAATCCAGACGAAAACAATAAAAAGTTTTTAAAGCAGAAAAAAAGACTGATTTGACTGGAGGAAAGAAGTTTAGAGGGGAACAAAGAGAGAGACAAAGGTTTAATGAGATCCGAGAGGCAGGGCAAAGAGAAAAACACACTGCAAGAGGAACGTAAACAAAGGAAGGAGTGAAACAAGGAAAGCCGGAATCAAGAAGTAAGTTGAAATGCAATTTTGCCAGATGTAAATCTACAACGTGCAAATAATTGCACTCAACTACTCCGAGGTAACTAGGCAAACAATATTTTTGCTAGCTCTCCCCTCTTCACAGCTCTACTTCTCTGGAGTGTAACTGTTTCGACCATGTTCTCGGAGCAGAAAATTCCGGACTCGACAAACAGCCTGACGCAGTATCTTGCGCAGGTAGCTTTATTTACATGTCTTCAAGACCGGAACGAAGTTTGCTTACTTTCAAGTTCAAACTTTCGGCGTACACTAGAGACCTAATTTGGACTCTGTATTTCAGCGAGTTAAATCAAGTTGCTAGGTAATACTGCGTCCCAGTCCATCTCCTTAAAAAACGACGTATTGAGACTCCAACCCTCGAAGATAAAAAGGAGCCGAATTTCATTCATATATCACGAGAAAAGAATCCCCTCAAAAAAATCCGTTGGATAAAATGTTGCTGTAAGGAGGTACTATTTCCACATCATTTCAAAAACAATATATTAACCATAGTTTCTTATTACAGATACGTGATTCTACAGATGAGCCAGAAATTGTAGTAGTGTGCAAAATGATGAGGGTTCAGTTGATCAGCAAAATTTGAAAATCTGTACTGAGGTACAATGAATATTTCAAGAGATGAACGATTATGATCTGGACTACATTTTTTCTATAAGGAACTAACATATTTGGCTCATTTTACAAACGAAGTATGCACCTTCGATTTTTTTACGCAGGTACCTAGATGCTTTACGGGGAAAGCCAGAAATAATATCTCCTGAATGCAAAGTGAAATCCATTTAATATTTTCTCAGACTTTGGCAAATCATTTCGATCAAAAAGTATTGTAACGCATCTACATTATTTTCACTTGAGATAAGTCTGACGATGATTGGTTTCCGTTTCCATCATGGCCGGATTTACCTACTTGCGGCCCATGGGCCGCCTGTATTTTGCCGCCCTCATCCTTTTTCAAACATCAATAAAAACCATCAAGTGAACGTGCCGGAGGGAGAAGGGTGCATGAGACGCGTTCACTCGTGTTGGACACATTTTTTGCGTAAGCCCTGTCAACACTACTAGCAAAAGTTCACGGAACTTCGCGCGAAAGTTTAGTTCCGTAAACCTATCTCTGTGGGGACAAGGCCTTTCATTTGTAAGAAGTGAACTAAAAAATTAAGAAAGAACAAACATAAATGTGGTTTAATAATTTCAACTTCCGCCGCCGCGCCGCGCTGACCACACTGTGTTTGGCGCAATGCGTGAAGTATTCATGTAGTCTTGTAGGCATTGTGCGTTTCAAGCCGCGCCGACCGCGGTTGACCGTGCTGTGTTTGACGCAATGCGTGAAGTATTCATGCAGTCTCGTAGGCGCTAATATGTGTTACATGCCGACCACCGCGTCGAGGGCTTCTCCTTTTCGTCTCAAGTCCTCGTCATCCTTTATCTTGGCGCCGCGCCGCTCCAGGCCAAATTACATGTTTGGTTTCTCTTTTAACTCAACTAATTAAAGGTGCGCAGTCTTTTGTATCACCGAAATATGACAAAATTAGAAATTAATGAACTCTCAGGAAATGAGAGATTTTGTCATCTTGTCTTGTTTGTAATTTTTTTGAATCCGATTTTTTTGTACTGCATTTAAAAAAATTGCAAAATTTGCCGCCCCCTAATTTTGCCGCCATGGGCCGTGCCGTGGCCCATATGGCCACCCCCTCAATCCGGCCCTGGTTTCCGTAGAAAAGTAGAAAAATATCAACGATGTAAATGATGTGCGGGACTTCCATTTTTACTGAACCATTCTTATAGCACTCCGTCTCCGCAAAACGCAACTCCTGATTCTAACCTGAAGCCTTTATACCAGCTGGATGATTTATGAGAACTTCTCAGGAGACACTTCTCAGGAGACACTTCCAGAACTGTAGGAGGTGTAAAATTAGTGATGTGAGGATAAGTTGGAGAAGTTTGAAACTGGAGCAATCTACTGAAGTGGATCATCTCATGTTCAACTTGACGAATGGGCAATTATATCCCCGGTTGCACGATCATGGAATTCGTGATACATTGCCTCTCCAAAATTCATTGGATAGAAGATTTCATTAGATTGAAAATCCATTGCTATGTTTATGCACGCTCATTTGTCTACGTCAGCATGTACCTAAAACATGTACCTATAATGCTGCTGTAATGTGAGTTGAAAAATTAAGAATATAGACGAATGTTGCCTGCAACGTTTCATTGGTCTAGATGAAACATCAAATTCAAGAAAAATGATGATCGAAATTAAATTGTAGCAATTTAAAAGTTCAAGAATTTTTTGGGTTCTAACCATCCTCGTTTCAACTCTTGTTTGCCCAAGTCGGGTCAAAATCCGTATTGAAATACATTGATTTTGATAGTTTTTGAAGCATTATCCATGTTATTTCTACGTTCTTGAAGTTAGGTAATGGTTTTTTTTTCTCTCTCTTTTTCGTAACATATTAGCGCTTTCTCACCCTCCCCCTTCTCACCCGCCACGTGTACCACCCACAGAAGAGGTAGTCAGATTTCCAGGAGAAGTCGTCTAAAAAATTCGCCTCTTCGCTCAGTGATGCACTTCGAATTTTTCGTCTCTTTCATTTTTATCTTTTATGAACCTCTTCCTTTCTTTCCCCTTTTCCTTCATCTCTCTCATTTCCTCCCTTTCCCTCTCACTATTCTTCTCCCCCTCTCTTCCTTGTTTCAGCTTTCATTGCTTTTACGCTTTTCCTCCCTTTTTTTATTTCAAACCTCCGTTAAAACGTGTAGTCGGTATGATATCCAGCAGAGTAGAAACGTGATAACTGAGGCTGCCAGATTTTACAGAATCTCTTTACTCTCCCGTAGGGAAAACCGGAACTTTTGAGGGTTTCCACCGGATCCGGGGACTGTGAGGGAAATGAATCTTTAATCGGGCCTCTGCTAATGAAGTCCTGCACACAGCGAACGCCAAACTCATTGAGAGTGGGAACGGTTATAGTTCAAGTTGCAAAACGCAGGTGTAGCGGAATAAACTATAAATGAGGCCAGGTCAACTCACTTATTATCTCTCCTTCCCTGCGAACCACATTTTTTTGCGATTCATTATGTTCGACCGTGAGGCTGTGCAAATTTCCATCCCCCTCCCTCCCTCCTCCCACCCCTTCCATCGCGTAGAGCTCCAACACGAGGCGAGTAGATGCATTTATTTAGCTCTCACGGTTGCCACTGGTGGCAACTATCGATGGTGAAAGATCGAACCGCGTATTTCAGCTTCCGAAAATATGAATGCCGATATTAATAATTTGAGGAAATATAACATTAGCGGAAATTTTCAAACACATCAAACGAGATTCGTGGTTTTGATTTGGTACTTTTAGTATCGATATCTGATCTTGCGGGGAAAGCGAGGCCATAATTCCGATGAATGTGAAATTTAGGAATGGGAGTATGGAAAAGTTTTTTACGGACATTTTGAGTAATGGCGAGGCGTGAATGATCGATTATCGATATTTCTCCATTTGGAGCTTTGATAAAGAATCGA